GTTCGGAGTCCCGGATGAGATCGAGGACATGACGAGGAGTCTCGAAATGGTCGAGACGTAAAGATCGATATATTGGACAACTATATTCGGACATCGGAAAGGTTCCGAGTGATTCGAGTATTTTTTGGAGTACCGGAGAGTTACGGGAATTCGCCGGGGAGTATATGGGCCTTATTGGGCTTTAGGGGAAAGAGATAGGAGAGGTTGGGCGCCCCCCCAAGGCCTAGTCCGAATTGGACTAGGGGGAAGGGCTGCGCCCCCTCCTTCCTTCTCTTCTCTTTTCCCTTGCCTTGACTCCTACTCCTACTACATGGAAGGACTCCTAGTTGAACTAGGAAAGGGGGAATCCTACTCCCGATGGGAGTAGGACTCCCCTAGGGCGCGCCATAGAGAGGGCCGGCCCTCCCCTCCTCCACTCCTTTATATACGGGGGCAGGGGGCACCCCATAAGCACACAAGTTGATCTACGTGATCATATTCTTAGCCGTGTGCGGCGCCCCCTGCCATCATAGTCCTCGATAATATTGTAGTAGTGCTTAGGCGAAGCCCTGCGTCGGTAGAACATCATCATCGTCACCACGCCGTTGTGCTGACGGAACTCATCCCCGAAGCTTTGCTGGATCGGAGCCCGGGGAGCGTCATCGAGCTGTACGTGTGCTAAGAACTCGGAGGTGCCGGAGTAACAGTGCTTGGATCGGTCGGATCGGGAAGACGTACGACTACTTCCTCTACGTTGCGTCAACACTTCCGCTTCGGTCTACGAGGGTACGTAGACAACACTCTCCCCTCTCGTTGCTATGCATCACCATGATCTTGCGTGTGTGTAGGAAATTTTTTAAAATTACTACGTTCCCCAACAATAATTAGGGCACATCTAGATGTGCCCTATATAGACCCATACAAACACTAATGCTTGCGAAAAACTGATTTATTTTTCTGAGCACCTACCTTAAAGGGCCCCAAATATTACTTTCGCCCCGGGCCCCCAAAATCTCAGGACCGGCACTATCTGATGTTGAGATGGAGGCGACACGACTAGCTGCAACGTCCCCGGCGTGGCCTAGCTAAGACCATGTCAGATATGAGGTTAGGCAACAAGGTTTTGAATTGTCATATTCACTTGTCTATTTCTAATATTTTTGAACTTCCGTATTTGAAGCATGACATGCAATTGCATTTAATTTGTTTATTTTTATACTATTTATGGATTATAAGTTTAATACTAGTGTGTATAAATTTGATTTACCTTTAATCTGCAATATGGCGCTACACTAGTTGTTGTTGCTACTCTACTGTGTCCGAGGGAGTCCCAACGACATCTATGTTGAACATCAAGGACATCTACTCGGTAATATTAGTGCTCATAGCTTATTATGTAATATATTTGTTCAAAGGTCTCTAGAAAAAGTAGCTTATTACCTTCAACTAACCTATAGTTTCATTTCACACTAGCCAAATTATGCGTGAGAATTTCACAGCAATACTTGCGAACCACAAATTATGAGTAATAAAATCCTATCAATGAACTGACCAAAATCTATATTTTTCTACACCAATATTAATAAAACTAAAAATGACTTTTGTTGATGGATATCTACGTCTACTAACCATGGATAACTAGTTAGGTTAGAATTAGAGGGGCTTGCCCCTCCGCCACCTTATCAAAATTTATTTACCTTGAGGTACATGTATCTTATAAACATCAATTATATTGATCATACATGCATGTGTTAGAGCATGTTTAATAATATAGCCAACGGTTGGCTATGTGATGTTGGCATATTATCTATAGCCATCAATTATAGTCACTCATACAACAAGGTTCTAGGTTGGTTATAATATTAATACTTTTTCTCATCTTCTCTCTATCTCTTTCTTCACATTTATTGCATTTGTTTAGGAGCACACATATGGCTAGACTCTTGCACGAGAGCCCACTCCCCTTACTTTTTTTATTTCTCTCTTCTCCACACAGACAAAGTTGCCATGTAAGAGGGCTATAAGCCTGCTATTGTACTTGCTCTTAAGATGTTATTTGCTAAACCATTGATTTGGTCTCATCTACTCATTTGATATGGAAACATCAATGATGGATATCTTTAATTTGCATGAAACATTAGGTTCATGTTCCCAACGACTTTAATCAGCAACTACACATCCATTCGACATGGATTAAATTTTGCCATATTAACTTCTTCATGCATTTAATAACCTTTCATTTACACAAAGTAAAGTTTCTTAAAAAAAGTTACCCAGGGCAATGCACGGGATATCCTTCTAGTTCTAACTGCAAACAGTTCTTTTTTCTTATGTGGAGTGACATGACGGGCCATGTGCTACTACTCACAGATGGTGGGCCCACCACTTTGCTACGTCTCTCTCCAGTTTCTATAGTAGCAAGATCATGGAGTGCACACGCTACATCTATGGCTCGCCTGGAACTTCCACGACGTTGCAATGCTTGACACTAGATGCTAAGCCTAATGCGAGGTGCACCACGAAGTATTGGCATGTGAAGATGGCGATCGTTAACTTCAACACGCTCAAGAACCGATTGCACACATGATAGTCTAGCACAACAGTCTGCAATACTTGACACAGGTCTTTGGCTTCGCCTACTAGCTGCTTGTCCGATATGACACAATAAGTAACTTGCACCTACCTATTTGCCTTTAAACATTTCAAAACGTTCATGTTTTTCTATATTGCAATGCGCATCATCCTACTTTATGTACAAATTGCATAATAAAGCATAATGCAATTGTCTCATTTCATTGACCAATTGGAGAGCACAAACAATTCTAGAAAGAAGTGACGATTGAGGTGAAAATGAGTACCATTGTGGCAATAGTTCTGC